CCGGGTGAATTTCATTCCGCATTTTGAACAAGTGTACGGGTTCTCACCACTATGAATCTTCTTATGTCTATTCAGACTCTCTTTCGCGGTGAAATTCATCTTGCATTTCGAACAAGAGAACGGCTTTTCACCCGTATGAGTTTTCATGTGTTTATGCAAACGCGATGAATGAGCGAAGCCCACCAGACATGTTTCGCATTTGAACCGCTTTTCACCTGTATGAGTCCCGCGCCCTGGATGTTTCCTTTTGATGCTATCTTTGTTTCCTTTGGACTGTTTCCTTTCGATTGTTTGGATGTTGGACGTTTCATTTTGATATCTCTCGTTGGACGTTTCATTTTGATATCTCTCGTTGGACGTTTCATTTTGATACCTCGCATGCCAGATTTTCTTCGGCATATTTCCTATACTTGTTTGTTCCCTTCTCACTTCTTGAATTGATGCGTTCAACGAGCTTGCGTCATTCTGATCAATTTCGTTGAATTCTATTTGTTCCTCTCCCACATAAGGCGCTGATAGAACTGATGCTCCAATCCGTCGTTCATACATTCCTGACATTGACAAATCCAACGGTTCCTTTTGGAACTCCTCAAATTATATGAAACTATCAAGTTTGAACTACGCTAAAATTTTGAAACCTTAGAAATTTTTGATCGTTATCTTCTATTTTTAAATTTAAATGAACTTACAATAGTCTGAATGCCACTCAGTTGGAAGAGGAAGAAGATGAAAGAAATGGAATGCATATTGATGAGAGTGATTTCTGATCAATTCTGAAAAAAATATTCAAATTTACTAGCATACTGCATGGTTACTTATAGGAAGTAACACCGTCTGACGTTTGTCATCCAGTAAATACCTTTCCAAATTTGTTATCGCTGAAAATTAAACTGGTACGCATTCATTGCTTGCATGGCATGAACACCCTTTATTCAGTCGCCAAACGCAACAATTTATCCATACTGGAGATTGGTCACAAATATTCCAAAGCAGATTTCGCGCAAACTTGCACAGTTATAAATTTGATAAAAAGACAATTTGTTTAACAAAGAGAGTGCTTATTTATACATTTATCGTGGAGTCCTAAAATCTCACAACCAAAACATTGAACAGGAGCTGGCATTCTCTGCCGAAATAAATGAAATAGAACATACTAAATAAAATTTCACGGAAGACAGTTTAACAAATACCATCCAATCATTTGTATTACACATTGGTAGAAGATCGCATATATAATTATTAATTTTGATGGGAGTGGCTATTCACATGTATCGATAACCTTTGTTCACGTATAATAATGTAATAACAGTAATCACTGTTTAATCCTTTATATGTTTAATCCTTTACACTGAATGATTTCATTTCAACTGCCATATTGCATTGTGAAAAATAATTTATGCAAATCTTCCGCGACATTTTTTACACAGTTTTATTTTGTTTCGTTTCAATTTCGAAACCTCCAAAATTGAAGCTGTATTAATGAGAAGGAAAAACTGCATTGCTTTATCACTTGTAATTAACGCTATTAATTTGTATATGCTGAATAATATCGTGAAATCTTTCTTTAATCCATATAAATCCTAAAGCTTAGTTTTGCAACATTCTTCTTTAATAACATATAATGTGATGAAGCAGCTGCCAAATGAATCAGTCGATGATTTTCACAATGTTTAACCTTCAAACATAACACAATCAAAAATTTGAAGGACTGAAATGGAAGAAAACTATTGTTAAAATCTGGTTAGTCATTGACTGTAATCAACGTAATTGTTCTTTCCAGTAACTGTTGGAAAGTGTTTAGTTGGCATGAATTGGAATGCTAAATCAGAAGCTATGTGTTCGCCGTTTATGACTTTGTAAGCATTTCAAGGTGATGGTTCCATACGACAAGCTCCTACTGGAACTATCCGTAATTCCTCACTATGAAACTCTCTCGAGATTGAAGGCAACCTGAAGATGAACGAAAAGTGTAATCCAAGCATCGGTTTTGATTTACACTTGTAAAATATCGGCGGGATGGAGATGGATGATTTGTGTATATTTAGAATATCTCCTCTTCGCCTGCCATTAATCGAAATTTAAACAATCC